ATTTTGCGCACAATTCACAAAACGTGCATATTTCAAACCGAATTTTTTCAATAAATTGCTCGGAAATTTTAGAGCTTCGTTTTAATTTAGACCTTGGACACAATAATCTGATATCGTTGAGTAAATAACTACACAGTACCCAAAATTGGGGCTACACAAATATTACCTCGCTTCATTTTCACGTTTTTTTAGGATAAAATAGAAAGCAATTATCTCTTCCTCCATAATTTTCTTTTGTTTGGATTGTTTGATTGTATATTTTCGTTTTGTGACCTCTTGAAAACCAGCTGACAAATTAGTAACTTTTTTTTTTGAGCCTAGAGATGTGAGACAGCTTACTGAATACCAATTAGTCTCAAAATCGATTTTCACCACGAAAAGTCTCTATTAGTGACTAGAGACAGCTTACTGAATTCAGCCATTAATATATCAAATATTATTTTGTCTTCTTCCACTTTCAATTCACTTTTTTTACTTTTTAGATTATTCTCACTTTTTGTGTATTCTTTAATTTCCGTTTATTTAAATTCAGTTGAGTTTGACACTTTTCTTCAAGATTTTGACTAAATTTGACTACTTCGGACTGAAGGGAGTCACTCTCACTGAGTGTTTCTCTCTCATTTTTGCTGTCATTTTCGAATTAACGAACGCTTTTTGGTCTAAATCTGACTACTTCGGACTATTTCTGACTACTTCTGGGAGATAAGGAACGCAACTAACTAACTTTCGAAAGACACTTTACATGCAAAGCGTGACCAATGCTGCCGAAAGCTTTCGCTTGAAAATCGTCACTTTACCCTAATGGGCTGTTTTTGCTTACGCCTAAAATGCTACTCTAAATGTACATTTATCCATGAAAAATTCGTCACCTAAAGGCAACTAACCCTGGGATTCAGTAATTCAGTCTCATCTCAAGTCACTAAATTTGAGATTAGCAATTAGTGACTATTTTTGTGACTTGAGACGATTTGGGTATTCAGAAGGAAAGAGTCACAAAAAGTTCACCAAAAATGTGTGGTGAAAGCAATCACAGACAATCAACTGATAGTTTTTATGTATGCCTTTTGCCCGCGCCGCTCAAAGAGTCGCAATGGCCGAGTGGTCAAAGCATTAGGCTGGCAGCCGAGAGGGTCCGGGTTCAAGTCCTCCTCGGGCGTAGAGGATTTTTATTTTTTTTATTTAGTACTTTTTTATTAGTTTTATTTTTTTAACAATCTTTAGATTTTAATGTTAAAAAAAATGCAATACATTTGTATGATATTAAAGCATTTTGGTTTATTTCCTAATGAAATTCTTTTTGAACAAATTTCCTCGCTTCATTTTCGCGTTTTTTTTTTTTAATAAAATGGAAAGAAATAAGTTTTTCCTCCATACTTCTATTTTTGTGACCGGCTCTTAGCCAGCTGACAAATTAGTGACTAGAGACGCCAGAC